AATGATCATAATGTACATATTCAAGAACTTAAATATTTTGATTTCGACAATTATTGTATAACTCCACTTTATTATTTTTGGTTTTTTAATAAATGATACTTGTTCAAGGATCATCGAGATATCCTTGTACATGTGCGATGTTAATCACTTGCTTTTTATGGTCAATTGATATACAAAGTTGTTTGTTCATGTAATCTATGTTCTGGGTTGTTACTGATTTTGCCCTTATATGGTTTTTGCCTTAATTTTGGATTAAATTTGTGATTAGATTGTCTTGATCATGTACAAGAGTGGAATTTAGCCCTTTTTAGTGCTAAAATTCATGCCACAGTATTCTTTGTTAAGGCATGTCAGATTGCTTTATTATGTTTTTCGAGTTTTTGTGTTCTAGAGTTTGCTTGAATTATGGTTTGATCTGATTGCGAATTTCCTTTTTTGTTCACATCTTTGTCCTTTCATTACAATTGTTGATCTCCCACTGCTATTTTTGTTGATTTGGTGCCTTTTTCCATTAACATCTCGAGCATTTTCGTGTTGGAGACTACTTAATTTTGATGATTCCAATTGGATGTGTTATGAATTTGCTAAACTTGATATGGTTCTGTTAGATGGAAAAGTTACTTTTATTTACATAATTTTTCTTTACATGCTGTCTTCTAATCCTCACTGCTAGGTTAGTTTATTCTGTGAAGTGGTGTGGCATTTTTTGAGTTTGTGAACTCTTGCATTATTTTGTTCAGTTTGATGTTTTGATTTTTATCGTGCGTATGCTTGCAGGTTTAATGCCTGAATACATACTCACGTTCATGATGTATAAGTTGAAAATTGATGTTTAATTGTAATAAAATGATATAGTGAATATGGAACGAAATGGAGTAACCTGAACGCGCTTTTATGATTTTCAGAATATAAATATCTTCGCTAGTGCCTAGTGTGGGCACTGCAGAGTTGAGCAGTGCCCATGGATGCCACTACTAGCGGAATGTCTAGTGTTCAGTACCATAACATTCCCGAGCAAACAATTACAGCTCTTGTCACCTCTCCCATAGCAACATTTCAGAAGCAGCAAAGGCATTGCTTTGGAAATGCTAGCCCAGGGGAATTCCCGTTATCTGCTAATCCTTCTATTGTTCTTCATGTCCTTACTGCATGTAATTTGGATCCGCAGGATCTTGCAAAACTCGAGGCAAGTGTATTTAATCTTAGAATTCTGCTATTGAACCTCGTATATGAATTAGAATTGATGATGCTGCTGATTTGAATCATAACCTTGTGGTGCAGATAACATGCTTGTTCTTTAGACGGCCTGCACACTTTGCCCCCCAATACGAGCTCTCATTATCAGAACTAGCGGCTCTTGATATGTGCCGGATGAGAGCCATATTTAAGCCAATGACCGATGAGCAAAGGCTAGAACTGAAGCAAATGTGCGGGGGGTCATGGAAACTTGTCTTAAGATTCCTGCTGGCTGGAGAAGCATGTACCCGGAGGGAAAAGTCGCAGGCAATAGCCGGTCCAGGTCACAGTATTGCTTTGACTGCTAAAGGAGCTGTATACTCTTTCGGGTCTAATAACACAGGACAACTTGGACATGGAACCATGGATGAGGAGTCCCGGCCTCGCTTAATTAGGTTGCAATTTTATGTTACTGTAGTAAACTTGATGCTGTGAGAGCAAGAAACAAGACAGAATTTAATAGAACTTCTTGCATTGCAGATCTCTGCATGGCATTCATATCATTCAAGCATCAGTAGGGGCTGGCCGAACTATGCTGATAAGTGATACAGGAAAGGTCTATGCCTTTGGGAAAAATTCCTTTGGGGACGCAGAATTTGGGCCTCTAGGAAATAAATTTGTAACTATTCCTCAGCTAGTTGAATCTTTAAAAGACATTTTCGTCGTGCAAGCTGCTATTGGAAATTTCTTCACAGCTGTATTATCGAGAGAAGGCAGGGTTTACACATTTTCTTGGGGGAATGAAAGCAAACTTGGCCATCATACTGAAGCGAATGATCTCGAGCCTCGTCCACTGTTGGGGCCGCTTGAAAATATACCAGTAGTTCAAATTGCTGCTGGATATTGCTACCTCCTTGCTTTGGCTTGTCAACCTAGTGGCATGTGAGCTCCCTTTTTCTTTTATTTATTTGTGTAGATATAATCATCAGTGATCTAATTCTGAAAACAGTGTTAATAGCTTTAAATGCCCTTGTTATGCATAATTGTTACTGCTTGAAAACGCACATTAATCTCTCTGCCTCTGGCAACATGCGCCGTATTCCCAAAATGGATATGAGTTAATAGTCAAATAATTCAATTACCAAAATTTATCCATTTCTATATGTTTTCTAGCATTTATACGTCATTGGAAATTCCATTTCTCTTTGGTACCATGTAGAGGTGCACTTGCATTGTCGTGATCTTTTTTTATTATTACTTAAATGATCTCTCTATTTGATATATCAGGTCAGTATACTCGGTTGGTTGTGGATTGGGTGGAAAACTTGGGCACGGTGCAAGAACCGATGAGAAGTTACCAAGAATAATCGAGCAGTTCCAGTCTTTGAATCTTCAACCTGTTGTGGTTGCAGCCGGGGCTTGGCATGCTGCAGTCGTGGGAAAGGATGGGCGGGTTTGCACGTGGGGCTGGGGGCGTTATGGATGCTTGGGCCATGGGAATGAAGAATCAGAATCCATTCCAAAGGTGGTTGAAGCACTAAGCAATGTCAAAGCTGTCCATGTTGCTACGGGGGATTATACGACTTTTGTTGTTTCAGACAATGGTGACGTGTATTCCTTTGGGTGTGGGGAATCTTCTAGTCTTGGGCATAACACTGTGGCTGAAGATGAACAGGTCTGTCTTGGACTTTGTTTTTACTTTTTATTTGTTTCCCGAGCGAATTAGCTGCTAGGATCTTTGCATTTATATATCAGGTTTCCAACTATTTAATACCACCTTTCGAATTTGAACCACGATAATTTGAAATTAGTTTATGCCCTTTACTTCGCCATAAATTTTGTTCTTATTTTACTTTTGGCTTTATTTAGCTCCTTAAGATCGTGGATTATCGGCTCAAGATTATTCTTGTTTTGACTTCATCTGTTGGCTTATATCGCTACTGGTTAAGTATTATATGTGGATAAGAAACTGAGAATATACGCCGACAAGTGGAGATGGAGCTGATTGAGGATAAATTAAGAAACCACAACATGAGTGATCGGGTTATGTTTTTGCGACGATCTAAAAAGTTCCCTTGAGTCATAGGAGTAATATGATTCTGGTAGAGAAAGGTGCAAGAGTGAGGGGTAGAACAAAGTTAAAATGGCGGGTAATAGTTGTTAAGGATATAATTGCTTTAATTCTCTCAGTAGTAATAGCGAATATGGCTAAATGGCGAATAAGGATTCATGTAGCCAACCTCATATTTACTGGAAATAAAGCATAGTTTATTTCTGTTTTGAAAATCCTTAATAACTTCATCTACACTAACAGATTCCCATGCCATGTTATTTTTTCATTCTGTGTAACGCTGTGAGACCTTACCGTTGTGTAAATTTCAGGAAAATGGGCAAGTAAATGTCTTAAGCCCCAAGCTTGTAACATCACTAAAGCAAGTGAACGAAAGGGTTGTTCAAATAAGCCTCACGAATTCCATATACTGGAACGCCCACACTTTGGCCCTCACAGAATCCGGTAAGCTATATGCATTTGGTGCTGGTGACAAAGGACAGCTAGGCGTCGAGCTTGTTGCAAATCAAACCGAACGGCCAAACCCCGAAAGGGTTGAGATTGATCTCGGTTAACTTTCGTCTCTGGATAAAACTCCTGCTCCTTTCTCTGCACAATTTGCTGCTCTTGAATTATGATTTTATGACTTTCATCATACATTTGAATTTGCTGGCGATATTTTTCTTTTTATTCTGTAAATAGAAACAAATGATTTTTCCAACTATTTAATACCACCTTTCGAATTTGAACCACGATAATTTGAAATTAGTTTATGCCCTTTACTTCGCCATAAATTTTGTTCTTATTTTACTTTTGGCTTTATTTAGCTCCTTAAGATCGTGGATTATCGGCTCAAGATTATTCTTGTTTTGACTTCATCTGTTGGCTTATATCGCTACTGGTTAAGTATTATATGTGGATAAGAAACTGAGAATATACGCCAACAAGTGGAGATGGAGCTGATTGAGGATAAATTAAGAAACCACAACATGAGTGATCGGGTTATTTTTTTGTGACGATCTAAAAAGTTCCCTTGAGTCATAGGAGTAATATGATTCTGGTAGAGAAAGGTGCAAGAGTGAGGGGTAGAGCAAAGTTAAAATGGCGGGTAATAGTTGTTAAGGATATAATTGCTTTAATTCTCTCAGTAGTAATAGCGAATATGGCTGAATGGCGCATAAGGATTCATGTAGCCAACCTCATATTTACTGGAAATAAAGCATAGTTTATTTCTGTTTTTGAAAATCCTTAATAACTTCATCTACACTAACAGATTCCCATGCCATGTTATTTTTTCATTCTGTGTAACGCTGTGAGACCTTACCGTTGTGTAAATTTCAGGAAAATGGGCAAGTAAATGTCTTAAGCCCCAAGCTTGTAACATCACTAAAGCAAGTGAACGAAAGGGTTGTTCAAATAAGCCTCACGAATTCCATATACTGGAACGCCCACACTTTGGCCCTCACAGAATCCGGTAAGCTATATGCATTTGGTGCTGGTGACAAAGGACAGCTAGGCGTCGAGCTTGTTGCAAATCAAACCGAACGGCCAAACCCCGAAAGGGTTGAGATTGATCTCGGTTAACTTTCGTCTCTGGATAAAACTCCTGCTCCTTTCTCTGCACAATTTGCTGCTCTTGAATTATGATTTTATGACTTTCATCATACATTTGAATTTGCTGGCGATATTTTTCTTTTTATTCTGTAAATAGAAACAAATGATTGTGAAGAAGGTAGGATAGGATGCACATTTAACCTATCAGAAAATTTTTTGATTCTTCATCTCAATCCTTTATCAAAGTAGTTTCATAACATGCATTGATTAAGATTCAAATTCCTTTGAATTTTCTAGAATATCTGATAATGAATCTGTTGAGATTGTTCATATCGATTGTGGATGAGATAAGTTTCACCTCTTGAGTTAGTTTTTGGGGTGAGAGAAACCCACTACCACCCAACAGATGGTATCAGAATGGTTTATCAACAAGTCTCCGATCCAACAATCACAGAGATATGTGTCGTGTGAGGGGGAGACGAGTTTGATCTCCCGTAGGGCCCAATATGTGGGGGGGAAAAGTGTTTGGTCTCCCGTAAAATCGATGTGTGATGAAGAGATTGTTGAGGTTGTCCCACATCGATTGTGGATAGGGTTGGTATTTACTTTATAAATGTGAGGGAAAGCGTCATCTATTGAGCTAGTTTTTGGGGTGAGAGTAGCCCAATATCACCCAACAGAATCAAACGAAGTGACAAAAAAGGATTTATGTAACTGACTCGAAAGTTACTAGAAATGAGACTTCATCCGTTGTAGTTATGTCTGTACTTGCATTTATTTGCCAAAGACACTGTTGACATGTTAGGTGTTGTACCCAATCGAATGGTCATAAATGCACATCTACAAGCTCGTAATGAAGTATGAGGACATGGTGTTGCTATTGAGAGTTATAAATGGCATTGCGTTATCGAAGTGCAAGTATTTTAAATTCAATCCACATCTTCAATGCTAATGTTGATTACATTGAAAATGTTGCAACATAAGCTAAGATAGATCTTGTCCACAAAAGTTCTTTTTCAATACAACATGTTTAGGATTATGTCTAGTGATAAGAGAAAAATAGATATTATCAAGAACACTATCTTAATGTAAGAACTTTCTGAATAGAATGAGTCGTCAAGAGTTAATATTTATTGATAATTATCTCCACATATGACGAACATAGAGATCTTTCACACATTGGAGAATAATGTTGTACTTTTGAGTAATATTATTCATAGTTATCAATTGCAATAGTCATTCTTTATGTTAATTTGTTATTTGAGATTATAGAATTACAGGAAATTAATGCTTCAAATAATAAATTGTCACATAAAATGACTACTACAATTACTAACTATGAATAACATTATTTTTTACTTCCTTATTATTGTGTTCTTTAAAACAAAGAACCCCAGGTCAGTCACCTCATGCAACTGTTTTGACCTTACTGATTTTTTTTAACAAGTCCTCTGCATAAAACAAGCACTCTAACCATGTTGATCGTAGAAATTCTTTTGAGTGAAATTAACGAAAATAGTTAGTCCCTATTTGGTTTGGCTGAAATCAAATCGTTAGTAGTTTTAGTGAAAGTTGACGAAATGTGTAATTAAAATATTGATAAAAGTTATGAATCATGTAAAATGCATAATCAACATGAATTTTAAAATTTTTTGAACAAATGGGAGTGAAGCTTATGTTTGGTTCATATTTACAAGAGAGATGCTACATGTACATAAGAAAATGTTAGAAAGATTCACAGATTGTCAATTAACAGAATTTCAATGGACTATGCAACCAAAAATGAAAAAAAAAAAAAATCAATCAAAATCCGCCACATCAACATTTGTTAAATTTTCTAGCAATTTCTCCTATACAAAAAACTTTACTCTGTCAGAAATTATTTATAAATGGTCAAATCACTTTTTATCCTTATATTTTATGAAATTTAAGAATACTACTCATTTATCCACAATTCATTTATATCTATTTAAACTTTTTATAAACACTTCTTAAAAATACATTAAAATGGGACACAACAATTCATAATCTAGGCCGTCCATGAGGTTTTAACAATTTTATTTCTTTTCTTTTTGTGAATTTCTATGTTTTTCATTTTTATCATAGGCCAATTATTGACTTACTTTCTCGACTCTCATAAAAATGAACATTTCTCAATTAGGGGTTGAATAACACTTTAACTATCCTATACTAGTCAAGATTAATCTTCTCTTCGACACAACTAGGTTAGAAAGAAACATTTTACTTTTAGAGTGATGTTATTCCTAGTGAAGATTATTGTTAGTATTTGTACGTGACATAATTTTAACAATTCGTTATCTGATGCATTAATATGATAGTTTTTTTATTACATCGTGCATCAAATAACAAACAACAATGTGTATATTACGTATGACGACTATTGGTAATCTTTACTGTTGATAACATTATTCTTACCTTTATTTTATGTTTTGATTCATTAGAAAAACTTTTTTATGTTAAATTAAGTACATTGAATCACTTGTGAACACAGGATAGGAGACAAATGATCCAATTGTTTTTAGAATTGACGCAAATCCACCTAAGAAGGTAAAAGTAAAAAATATTCTCGATTTTCTCTTTGTAACAAATGTATTACTCTATCATTCTTGATAAACAAAAGTAGTGAAAAAAGAAATTAAAAAAAAAAAGAATAGTATTTGATGCTACAAAAATTCGTACCTGCAGATTTTCCGAGCTTGATGATTCGGGTTGATCACGATCGTAGTTTTCCGGTACCTGAAACAAAGGCAACGAGGTGTGTTCTTGTCGCCCCTCCGATGCTTAAGTCAGAAAGGGAATTATATGTGTGAGGCTATATGCTGGAGAATAATGAAAAACGTACTTGAATAATGGTTTAAGGTTCTGTATTTATAGTAGTAAGCGACATTCTCCCAGTGGGACTCAACTAGCTGGATGTCCTTATCTGTTGGAGTCCTGAATAGTTAAGGAGTTGGTCAAATTCCATAATTATACATGGGATAGAATCCTTGCAGGAGTCAAATATATGGTTGAGTTAGAGTCCTAATTGCGTAGGAATTCTAAAGGGTCAACAATCGTAGGTTGTGAGGGGAGCATATGCTCGAGGACTCCATAGTTGGAGTTATAAGTTCATCGAAAATAGTCATCAGGATAATGTTGTGATCGGGCTGCTGGAAATGTCACTATCATTGGCCCCCGTGCATATATGCTCGAAGCCTTCGCTCGAGGATATGATGCAAAGAGACTGGAAATAAGAGGTCGGGAATTTAGCTCGAGAATGTTTTTGATGACAGGTGTTCAGAAGGGCTGACATGTACTGAGGTAAGCCCTAAAATAGGAAAAGGCGGTAAAAAATGGTAGGGGGTGGATGTAGGACACGTGGCCAGATCTGATGGTCGGGGTAGTGACCTTTGGACTACCCGCTCCTGTTACCTATAAATACCCTCTCCACATTTCATTTTTCACTTTTTACTCTCAGTAAACTTCTCTTGCTAATCGTCGGGATCAGAACTTTGAGTTTTTAAGCGTCGACTTTAAGGTAAAATCTTGAGTTTTTAAGTTATTCTTTAGGCACTTTTTTACCTAGTTTAAGATGTCTAGCAGTAGTAGTACTGAGTCTTCGTCCTCCTCCTCGAGGAGTACTCCCAAGGACATAGGATGCTCGATCATACCTATGGCTGTCCCAATTAATGCCCAACCTCGGGCACAAAGTATCCCGACCCCATTTAGGTACCCCGAGGTTCCTTGTAAATTTAAAGAGCATCTAGCAATATTGACGGGTAGGGAGCATGGGCTCATACCAAAATGTGATATTAGGACGCCAGGGGTAGAGGATAGGATGGCCTTTGCTCGGGATGGAGAGTTCGTGATTTTTAGGGACTCACTAAAGGGGGGATTTAGATGGCCTCTGCATCCCTTTTTTGTGTCTTTATTGGTTGAGCATAACATGAGCCCTGGACAGCTTGTGCCAAATGGGTGGAGGATGCTCACCTATTTTTTATAGCCTATAGATACCTAGGAATTAACCCATACGTCGATCTCTGTAGAATGGTCTTCGACCTGAAACAGTTACCTCAATATACCTGTTTTGCTTACCTTTCATCCCGAGGAGGCTTTAGATTACGGAGGATGCCTAGTTCATTGAAAGGATGGAAAGAAAAGTGGTTTTATGTCGCACCTCAAGATAGTGACCTTCCTTTTAGTCCTAAGTGGGTTTTGCCCGATACTCCCAGGTTTTGTGATGGCCAGGCCTATTTTGAGTCTTTAGAAAGGCATAGGATGATGTTAGAGAACCTCGAGCCTCTTGTATATGATATAGAGGACATTCTCGGGGATGACGTTCTCGATCTCGCGGATGTGAAAGGCACTGAGGGTAGGGATAATCTTTTTGCCTTCTTCCTTACTGATCTGTCTTTGAACGTATAATTGTGCTCATGTCAATGACTTGTTTTTTGCAGAGATGACTTTTGATCCTTCAACCCTCAAACAGGCCGTAACCAAAAATATGAAGGCCCCTCAAGCTCAAGCTCCAGGTCAAAAGAGAGGGAAGAAGAGAGCTCGAGATTCAGGCCCCGAGAATATTAGGAGTGGGCCAGGGGAACCTTCTGCCCGGGGACAATCCCCGACCATACAGGCCAATGAGACTCCAACTGCCCCACCTTGGTCACGTCCTTGGCCAAGGCGTACCCCCGAGGTTGTTGACCTCGAGGATGGGGTCCCATCTATGCCCTCGTTCCAAAATCAAGATCCTGATTGGTGTCCCCTGGTGTCCAGCATCGTGGACAAGTATCGAAAGGACCTCGATTTTGATGAAGGTATGAAGGCTCTTGAATCTCTCACACTGAAGGTAAGCTCACTCAACTTACTTGGTGTAATTTATGGGTTTATACGATTGATTGCTTTAAGCTCAGGTTTATATGATGCAGGCTCTGAGCATTGCCCGAGGCCTTTCTCTGAAGGGAAAAGACGAGGCACAAAAAACTACTGAGCTCGAGGACACTTCTCGAGCAAATGAGAAGAGGATAGCCGACTTGGAAGCTGAGCGCTTCCTTCTCCAGTGGGAACTCGAAGACTCGAAGAACGACGTCCAGAGAGCTCGGGAAGAGGCTGGAGCTACCAAGGGCGAAGCTAAGGATTTAAAGCTCGAGATTGAGTGTTTGAAAATTGATTTCGAAACTCGCCTGCCTGAAGCTTGAGGGGTTGCGATCGAGGATTTCAAAATGTCCGAGGAGTTCAACGGGCTTAAGGGAGAGTACGCCATAGGCTCGTACTTCCACGCTTTCAAAGAGGCTTGGGCATTTTTGAGGTCGAAGCCTGACGCCAAACCCGAGGATTTAAAGAGCAATCCTGAGGTTGCTGAACCTCGAGCTTTCAGAGTCCTAGGAAACCATCGAGGACAAGGAGGTCGATATTGACGGCGAGGACGCAGTGGAAGAGCAGGGGAGCACGGCCTCGGGAGAAAGAGCCGAGGACCTAGATTAGTTTATGTTTTTTCTCATGATGACATCCCCTTTTTTTTGTATTTTGAACAAGTATTCTGCTCGATGTTAGATAATGTTCCATTTATGGTATTTTGCTCAATCAAGTATTTTTCATTTTGCTCGATAATGTATGGCTGATGTCTCGATCATGACAAACTCAAATAGCTCGACGTTAAGATGGTTCAATAACTTGACGCCTAAGATGAATTGACAACTCGACGCCTAGATTAATTAAGTATCTCGACGCCTAGGTGAATTGACAATGCGACGCCTAGATTAATTAAATATCTCAAGGACTCAATTTGTAAAATCATTTTTGAACATTTAGTGTTGAACTCGAGCATGTAGACAAGTTATCTCGAGGACTCAATTTGTAAAATCATTTTTGAACATCAAGTGTAGAACTTGAGCATGTAGACAAGTTATCACGAGGACTCAATTTGTAAACTCATTTATGAACATTATGTATTGAGCTCGAGCATACACAAAGTTATCTCAAGGACTCAATTTGTAAACTCATTTATGAAAATTATGTATCGAGCTCGAGCATGCATGACGACGTAATTGTACCAACCTATAGCGTGTTCCCGAGGACTGTAAATGGCCTTTTTATAAGATCTCTCATACCATTGATCGGGCACTGTGTGATCGGAAATGTTACTTGACGTGCTTGCGCGGGGCAAGGCTTGTTGATTTCTTGCACGGGGTAAGGCTTAAGTTGCTTGCGCAGGGCAAGGCTTTAGTTGCTTGCGCAGGGCAAGGCTTGAGTTGCTTGCACGGGGCAATGCTTTTTTTTGATTGCTTGCACGGGGCAAGGCTTAAGTTGCTTGCGCGGGGCAAGGCTTTTTGTAGCTAGATCATATTTTGACAAATTGCTTAATTCTTATTATACTTTAAAAACAAACTTGGCACGCAGGCCTGACAACTAAAAACGTGAGCCTTGGCACGCAGACCTGACTACTGAAAAATAAAACTTGGCACACAGGCCTGACAATTGAAAACGTGAACCTTGATGCGCAGGCCTGACTACGGATAACTGGAAGACCAAGTTACTTATAATATAGCTTTAAATTCTCGACGTTCCGTGGTCTTGGAAGCGGCCTTCTTGACGTATCTCTTAAACTGTATGCACCTCGGAGTTGTCGTATGACTTCGAAGGGCCCTTCCCAAACTGGTCCTAGCTTGCCTGAGGCATGACCTGCTGCTTCAACCCTTCTTAACACAAGGTCTCCGGCTCTAAATCTCCACGTCCTTACTTTTTTATTGAAGTACTTTGCTATTTTATCCTGGTAGGAGGTCATTTTTAAAGCTACCCGATCACGAACTTCTTCCAAGAGGTCGAGGTGTTCAGTTGTGTGCCCTGCATCTTCGGGCTCGAGCCTTCTTTGGCTGGGCAACCTGACTTCAACAGGGATGGTGGCATCAATTCCAAAAGCCAACATGAAGGGGGTTTCCCCTGTAGTAGTTTTGTGTGACGTTCTATACGTCCAAAGTATGGAAGGCAACTCGTCAGACCAGGAACCTCTTGCATCACCGATCCTTGTATGGAGGTCTTGCAATATAATCTGATTGGTCACTTCGACGAGACCATTACTTTGAGGATGGGAAACCGACGTCAAACGGTGATCAACCCCTAGGTCGGTACAAAAGTTTTTAAATTGTGCATTGTCAAATTGCCTACCATTATCAGTTATGAGGACTTTCGGTATCCCGAACTTGCATATGATGGATCTTCAAATGAAACTTCTTAACTTCGGCTCTGAAATTGTTGCTAAAGGCTCGGCCTCTACCCACTTAGTGAAATACTCTACAGCCACAGCCACAAACTTCAATTGTCCCCTACTTATTGGAAAGGGACCAAGGATGTCAATTTCCCACTGCTCAAATGGGGCTGTGCAACTAATGCTAGTGAGGTCTTCTGCGGGAGAGTGGATGACATTGCCAAATCTTTGGCACTTATCACACTTCTTGACATATTCCTGGGCGTCTTTCTTCATGGTTGACCAATAATATCCATACCTTATGAGTTTGAAGGCTAAAGCCCGAGCTCCTTGATGGTTCCCATATACACCTTCATGAACTTCTTCTAGGGCCTGGGATGATTCGGAAGGCCTAAGGCATCTGAGGTACGGAAGTGTGAGGCTCCTGCGAAATAAAACACCTTCAATCATGCAATACCTCGGAGCTTTAGATCGGATGCTTCTCGCTGCCCGAGGATCTGCTGGAAGACTGTCATATTTTATGAAGTCCACTATTGGGTCCATCCATGATGGCTCATTATCAATATCCATGACGCCTACGATCTGATTGATGCTTGGCTCGGTTACAATTCTGACGTGGACTGTCCTGTCAAGCCCATCTATTCCCATGAACACCAATCTTGACAACGCATCTACCCTACAATTCTCAGCCCGAGAAATTTTTACAATTTCACAACTCTTGAACTTTCTCTGGAGATCATGCACTTTCAAGCAGTATAATCTCATCTTCTCATCCTTTCTATCGAACGTCCCTTCGATTTGCTCAACCATCAGCTGGGAATCACTATAAATTTTGATAGTTTCAAGCTCGAGATTTATGGCGAGTTCCATAGCTATGATGACGGCCTCATACTCAGCTTCATTATTGGTCGCCTCAAATTCGAACCTTAGTGCACACTGAATGTTTATGAGCATGTCCGGACTTATGATTATGACCCCTGCGCCCGAGCCCGAGGAGTTCGATGCTCCATCTACGAAAATTTCCCACGCAGTTATGCTCGAGCTCAAGCTACTATCTGGCCCCCGAGGCCTTGGAGTGAGTTCTGTAATGAAGTCAGCTAAGGCCTGAGCTTTAATAGATGGACGGGGCTTGAACTCTATATCAAATTCTCTGAGTTCAATTGCCCACCTTAGTAATCTTCCTGAGACGTCTGGTTTCTGAAGAATGTGTTTTAGAGGCTGGTTGGTAAGCACAACAATAGGATGTGACTAAAAATATTGCCGAAGTTTTCGTGCCGCTACTATCAGTGCAAGGGCAAGTTGCTTTGCCAAAGTGTATCTTGTTTCTGCATCAAGTAGAACTTTGCTTACGTAATAAATGGGTTGCTGGCCCCTGTTAACCTCTTTCACCAAGACACCACTCACTGCATTCTGAGATACGGCTAAGTACAAATACCGAGTATCTCCGGGCTCGGGTTTGGTGAGGAAAGGAAGAGATTCGAATGTCTGCTTGAGCTCTTGAAAAGCCTTCCCACACTCCTCATTCCATTCAGAGCAATGGTTATCCCTAAGGGCTTTGAAGAAGGGGAAGCACCTATCTGCTGCTCGGGACATGAACCTGTTTAAGGCGGCTACCCTGCCTGTCAACTTTTGAACCTCTTTCTTGGTCCTTGGTGTTTCCATTGCTGCTAGAGCCTGAATTTTGTGGGGGTTAGCCTCAATCCCCCGATGAGTGATCATGAAACCTAGAAACTTTCCTGAAGCTATACCAAATACACACTTCTCTGGGTTAAACTTCATCTTATATTTTCGTAGGGTGCGAACACCTCTTGAAGGTCGGATATATGTTCCTCCACCTTCTTACTTTTTACAACCATGTCATCCACATAGGCCTCGATGTTCTTCCCTATCAAATCAGCGAAGACTTTGTCGATGAGCCTCTGATATATTGTCCCAGCATTTTTCAACCCAAATGGCATCACCCTACAGCAATATATGGCTGAATCAGCCATGAATGAAGTCTTCTCTTGGTCTTCTTTGGCCATGAGGATTTGATGATACCCTGAGAAAGCATCTAAGAAGCTGAACAGCTTATGTCCAGATGTGCTATCCACAAGATTATCGATCCTAGGTAGCGGGTAGCTGTCCTTTGGGCATGCCTTATTCAGATCTGTGAAGTCAATGCAGACCCTCCACTTACCGCTGGGCTTTTTCACCAGAACAACATTAGCGAGCAAATCGGAGTATTGGACTTCCCTTATGATCCCCGCTCCCAACAATTTACCGACTTTTTCCTGAATGACCACACGTCTTTCTGGCGCAAATTGTCTCTTCCTTTGCTTAACAAGTTTGGCCCCTGGGTTGATATTAAGTTTATGGACAGCTACTTCTAGGTCTATCCTTGGTATATCCCCCACCTTCCATGTAAAAACATCAATGTTGCGGGACAGACAACTGATGACTTCCTCCCGAAGGTTGGCCTTCAGATCTCGACCAATAGTAACGGCTTTTCTGTGCTCGAGCTCGACCACTTCCAATTCCTCAACGGGGGCCAATCTACCCCTTGGCTCGAGCTCGAGCTCGACGAGTTACATGACATCAGTACTCATGCCTCGGATGCTTGTAAAATGGCACTGTCTAGCCGTCGTTTGGTCTCCTCGAACTACTCCAATGCCATGACCTGTGGGGAACTTCATGGCGAGGTGGAAAGTTGACACAATAGCCTGGATCTTGTTCAATAGGGGTCTTCCCAGAATAATGTTGTAGGCCATTGGGGTGTTAACCACTTGGAATGGTGTGATCTCCGTCACTTGTGTACTACCAGCTCCTAATGTAAGCGGGAGCTCGAAGATGCCTTCAGGGATAATGATTCCACCACCAAATCCTTGTAGGGGAGTTTTTACTGCTTTGAGCTGCTTGGGAGAGATTCCCATTTTGGCGAAAGCCTCCTGCGACAGTATGTTCACGGCACTCCCATTATCATCCAGAATCCTCCTTACTTCGAAGTTAGCCACAACCGCAGAAACGACCAAGGCATCGTCATGAGGATATGATATTCCTTCCAAATCTCTTGCACCAAAAGTGATGTCTTTAACTTCATCACTGGATTCTCTTAGGATATGAGCATGTTGGCGGGCATATTGCTTCCGCCCACTACTTGTGTCTCCACCGGATGCTATGCCCCCAACAATAATATTAATGGTTCTGGCAGTGGGTTGTGCACTGCTTCCAGCCCCAGGCTCTTTCCGATTGTCCCGGTCATTCCTTGGCCGTTTATCATGACCAATGTAATTCTTTAAAAATTCTCTTTTGATAAGGGCTTCAATTTCTCGCTGTAAAGCATAACAGTCCTCTGTAGTATGCCCATGATCCCGGTGAAATTTGCAATACTTGCTCCTATCTCTTGTGTCAGGGGGCGACTTCATCCTTGAAGGCCGCTTTAATTCTTTCATATCCTTAACCTCCATCAAAATGTTTGTCTTAAGAGGTTTTCAACCGAGTGAGAGATGCTAATGGCGCCTCGTTCCTGCGCTTATCCCGGGGAACCTCATGCCTAGGGATGGGATCATGTTGCCTTTTGTTCTCGGTCTTTTCATGAGAAGGACTAGGTCTCCTTGGATTTAGTGTTTCCTCCATATTGATGTATTTTTTAGCTCGGGTGAGGAGCTCGATCACTGTCTGCGGTGGGGTCTTTGATAAAGATATCTTGAAAGCTTCACATCTTACGACGTAAGTGAGGGCGAAGACAGCTGCTGTGATGTGGAGGTTGGGTATTTGAAGCCTTTCCTTGTTGAACCTTGTCATAAATCCTTGCAAGGTTTCGGTTGGTCCCTGGCGAAGTTGCATGAGAGAGGTCGCGGTCTTCCTGATTCGCTTGCTACTTGCAAAGAAGGCTGAGAACTTATCAGCCAAATCTGAGAATGAGGCTATGGAGTTGGGCCCCAATGTCGAGAACCAATCCCTAGCAGCGTTAGTCAGCGTTTGTGGAAAGGCTTTGCACATAACCTGATTCGGCGTAACTAGCAAGTTCATGACATCAGTGTATACATTGAGATGGTTGATGGGGTCGGTCGTCCCATCATACTCTTTAATGCGAGGATACTTGAATCTGTCGGGCAAGGGATATGTCAATATCTCTAGCGTGAATGGAGTGTTAGGGGTGAAGCCTGTTGGCCCCCGAGCATTACGAAGCAGGCCAGCTGTAATTCCTTCTTGAATGATCCGGGCAATTTCACCGGAATCCATGGTGACCGATCTCGACCCTGAGGCCATATTATGAATGCGCGATGTTCCAACTCCGCCATTTGCTGGGTTTGGTGGTCGTGCTCGAGCATCGGCCATAAAACCGCCATGCTCCGCCTGCGCTGGCGACGGATGTGAATTTCTTTGACTTAACAGTTGCGTGAGCGTGGTCACCTACTGACGAAGCTCTTTAAGGGCTTCGGTTGTAATGACTGCTGGCAGAAGTGTGGGCACTCCCGAGGATTCTTCATGAGGAGTTTGTTGATCTTCGGCAGGATGAGGGATGGGAACGGATAAGCTTACAGGAAGAAGACTTGATCGCGTGTTAACCATGGCTTTTGGTAGCGTTTCCCACCGACGGCGCCAATGATGCTACCAAAATTTGTATCTGCCGATTTTCCGAGCTTGATGATTCGGGTTGATCAAGATCGTAGTCTTCAGTACTTGAAACAAAGGCAACGAGGTGTGTTCTCATCGCCCCTCCGATACTTAAGTCAGAATTGGAATTATATGCGTGAGGCTAATAATGAAAAATGTACCTGAATAATGGCTCAAGGTTCTGTATTGATAGTAGTAAGCGACATTCTCCTAATGGGACTCAACTAGCTGGATGTCCTTATCTGTTAGAGTTCTGAATAGTTAAGGAGTTGGTCAAATTCCATAATTATATGTGGGATAGAATCCTTGCAGGAGTCAAATATATGGTTGAGTTAGAGTCCTAATTGCGTAAGAATTCTAAAGGGTCAACAATCGTAGGTTGTGAGGGAAGTATATGCTCGAGTACTGCTGATACTCGAGGACAAGTATTGCAATATGCAAAGCAGTCAGGCGAGATGTGGTCGGGCATAATGTCTCGAGGCCACCACATGCCCGAGGACTCCATAGTTGGAGTTACAAGTTCATCGAAAATAGTCGTCGGGATAATGTTGTGATCAGGCTGCTGGAATGTCACTATCAGTATTATTTATCCAAACTACTTATCATCAACAGTTTAGGTATCAATTAAGTGATTGAACATTGATCATATCCTTGTAGTTAAGAAGTTTGATCATTTAAAGTTATTTAATTGATACATAGATGACCAATGATAGGCAGTATGGAATGGATGAATAGCATTATTCTAAAAAAAAAAAAAATTCCTTTCCAAATTTTGTTTGGGTATATATCCGTGTGAAGTTTGATAGTTTGGAATATTTAAAAATTAAAAAAAAATCAAATTTGTAAAATGTACTTTGGAAATTGGATGGGTAACAAAATCTTAAATCAATCAAAGATTAGCTTGAAGAATTCTCAAACCAAAGAAATTATTAGTTATGAAAAACATACAAATATTTAAAGTTTAATTTTAAATTTATTCTATTTAAAGTATTTTATAGAATTTTTATTTGCCTTTGATGTTATAATAAATTTTTCTTTAAATTAAAATTTTTTTTTGTAGCTGAATTTGGAAGAGAATCTTACGGCTCGACCAATTTGGCCATGTTTGATAGGAAAGGAATTCCATAAAACTTGGAAAATATTTGAACATTTTCCAACTTTTTGATGTTTGATATCACAAAATTTTCCATGGAAGTCCTTTTCTTGGTTTGGATGTCACCTAGACATTTTCTAACTTTTTGATGAAAATGAATATTGGTGAGAATTCATTTTCTAGTCTAATGTAGCAACTTTTTTTTTTTTTTTTGCAATGGAAACAAATTCTAAGAATTATTGTAAAAAAAAAATAAAATTTCCTTTAATTGGCAATTTTCATGTAAAACAAAGTTAAACGAATACCAAAAGATAGATGAATTTCTTGAATTTTTTTATTTTTTTTATAATAGGAACAAATTTCATCTCCAAACAGTAAAATCTATCATTTTAATTGACAATTTTCATGTAAAACAAAGTCAAACGAACAGCAAAATATACTTTTATTTCAACATTTTCTACGTGAAAAATTATACCAATCAAATACAATAATTTACAATTCTCAAAAAAATAATTTCTAGGCAATTCAATTAAGTGGAATTCATTTTCAATTCAATTCAATTACATGTTTGCAATCAAACGGACCCCGTTTCTTTATTGAAATAACGACAAAAGACATTTTATGCGATAAAATTACAAATGTGCCATTATAAATAATTATGTATACCAAAATACCCGTGTAAGAGTCACAAATCACATTCTAAATTTCAAGTTATGCAACTCTTTAAATTTATAATATTTTATGATTTCTCAGAATTTTAATTGCTATTCCCGTTTCGTCTAATTTTTTTTTTCGTCTCTTTTTCACATCTCTCTCCATATATTATTATATTGTAAAATCTCTTAATTAGATTATTAACATTTTTTTTTCTACATTTGCAAGCTTAAAATAAAATAGATATATTTATTACTAAAATATATATAAGTTTTTCTATAAAGCTTAATTGCAGTAAAGAGAATAAAATTCAAGAAAATTTTGCAAACGCTCCTAAATAATTTTCGGGCTGTAGAATGATGTAAAGCTAATAATACAACTTAAAATGAATTTTAAAAAAAAATTATAAAATGATAACCAATAAAAAAAAAAAATAAAAAAAAAAATAAAAAAAAAATATATATATATATA